CATTTTCCCCAGGTGCCCCTGCTTGAGTTTAACTTTAACCCTTTATCTCATGAAAACTACTTGCAGATCCTGGGATTAAAAACTGTCTTTTATTAGTCTGAGCGTCAAGTGATTTTACAATTTTCAATATGACAATGGCAGTTCTATAAGTTCACACCAATCCTGAATGTAAAAACCTTATTAACCTTATTTACCTTGTTGTTACTATTTAGTCGGCTCAGGATGTTCAAAAGTCACATGTCTTTCTGAACAATGGAAGGCTGTTTGTGTGTTTGGGGTAAACCTACCGATCCTCTATCGTTGGGCGTGCGTTGTGGGGTAAGAGGAAGTGGTTTCAAAAGTGATATCATCTCCAAGCACAAAGATGCCTTTTCTGTCGACATGAACTGTAACTCAAATGGGACTCGTGGGGACATACAGTAGATTTGTCTAGTAATAAAAGTCCCTACGTTTGAATTGGTGAAATAAAATAAGCAAAAATACACTTGAAAAAGAAAGAAAATCAATTTCTCAATCGTTTTAGTTTCCCCGGTTTCCAAATTTACACGCTGTCAAGTACATCTGGAAGCAATCAACCTCACTTACCCTGTAGAATTAATTTCCACATGTTCTTAAGTGTAATTAGGTTTTTGTTTTCTCTTTCCTTCTTTCTAGATGGGCAGCAAATCTGGGAAATGGAAGCAACGGTGGATAAAGACAAAAGCCAACCTGTATGTATTAAACATGACACTTAAATTCTGGATATCTACCCATTAGTTCAAATAAATGAACCCCTTTCAGTACATAATAGAGCATTGTCTTGTAGAGTATGCTGTTTGTGGAGGTGCCGCCCTACCGGGATGCATCTGTTTGCCATCCTGTCAAAGTAAACTTCTACGTCATCAATGGCAAAAGAAAGCGCAGCCAGCCTCAGCATTTCACCTACACACCACTGGCATGTAAGAATGCTGCTCAGCCTCTTTTTGGTATGCTTTTTTCACATACTGCTTTTAAAGAATCATATGTAAATGATTTTCGTGGTATTGTTCACAGCCATCTTACTCATTTTTTTCCCTCCTCAGCTCCATCCATTAAGACGGAGCCTATAGATGAGTATGAAGCAGAGCGCATGGGCTTTGCCATGCCTCAAATCTTGGGCCTATCTCCTCATTCCTACTACCATAACCCACGTGGCATTCTCCACCCAGACAATGGCCTGGTCTCTGGCATGGCTCCCTGCCAGCGCCTCAGCTCCAGCCTTCCAAACCAGGATGCACGTTTCCAGCAGCAGAGCCCGGCCATCGTGTACTC